TCTCTCTCTCTCTCTCTCCAGTACTAAGGACTGAAGCCAGGGCCAATCTGAGCTACATCCCCATCCCTTTTTTAAATTTTTATTTTTAAACAAGGTCTTGGTAAATCACTAAGTTGATCAGGTGGCCTCAGCCATCCAGAATGCTAGGATTATAGGTAGCACCACTGTATCTGACTTGATCCTCCCTCTTTTCTGAGGTATTTCAGAGCTATAATAACAAGTTCCCCTGAGCCATCTAAACACGGTTCTGACAGCGCTTGCTGGATGGGGCCCCTTAAGGTCTAGTACTCCTTCCAGGACTGAGCCCATACCACAGCTTTGGGGCTCCCAGGAAACCCCTCAGGAAGGAAAATGAAGGAAAAAGACAGCCCAGGTGGGCATGGCAAGAGGCTTCACCATTGGGGTCACCCTACCCATGATCCTAACATTCCTACATCCTTGACCTTTTAGACAGACTCAGATCAGGGCTTCCCTGCAGCTGTGAGCGAGCCAGGACAGCCAGGGGCTCTGAAGACACCCTGACCCCAGCCCACCCCGACCATCCTGCTAGGAGTGGGGAAGGAAACCAGGAGTGGAGCTGGCACATGTTCCCATCTACTCCAGGCTGCAAATGATCACCCAGCTTCAGCCCTGCCTGGTCACGAGAAGCCCAAGGTGCACAAGGATGCAATCTTCTGCATTCCGTTGCTGATTGCTCCAAGCAGCTCTCCCCAGTTCCAGAGCCTGTGGACTGCACTGAGATGCCTCCCCCATCTGTTCTGGTCCCTGGAACCAGGACTACCCACCTGTGTGTTCTGTTTGGGCTCAGTGGGTGACTCGGTGCTGAGGGGTGTGGGAGCTGCAGGCTCAGTCAGAAAACACTCTCTGCAGACGCGGCTCTGTCTGCTGTTCTCAGCCTTGAACTCAGAGCACTTCCCACAGATGATCTACAAGACAGAGGCACTTGTGACTCCACATTCTGTCAGTGGCAGAAGAGGGACCTAAGAGTGTGGGGCAAGGTAAAGGCTTGTCCTGGGTGGGGCAGCGGCCCAGAGCCCCTTTCAAGGACAGAGAGTGAGGACGGTCCCCCTGAGTGTCCAGGACTTGCACTCCTCACCCCAACAACCCAGGTCCAAGGATCTGCATGCAAGATAAGAGTGGGATGAGCCACCAAGCACATGAGAAGACCCCACATCAGAATGACCCCATCCTGGTCATCAGGAAGACACAAATCAAAACCTCACACCCCGAGAATGGCTATCGCCAAAAACAAGAAACACACACAGACCACAACAAGACCTTGGGCTACCAGTGAGATGTACGGTTGGGTGGCTGCTGTGGGAAATGGTTCAGCAGTTCTTCAGAAATTTAAACAGAATCACCCGGCAGTGTGACCCAGCCATGCCACTTCTGGGTATATATTCAAACTAACCTAATGCAGGACATTGAGGAAGCCTTTGCCCAGCTATGTCCACACCACCACCACCTGTAAGACCCAGCAGGTGAAGCAACCCAGTGTGCACTGACGGAAGAGTAAGAAATCATGGTCTCTCTGTACCATGGGGAATATCATTTAGACAGGCAGGTAACACATGGGAACGAAGCCAAAGGTCTTCGGCGACTCTTCCAGAACTCTTGCTATCCTGGTCTCCACCATGCCTCACCCTCTGGTAGACCCCTCTGCTCCTCATGCTATCAGTTATTTTGTCTCTTTTTTGCCTCACTTTCCCTCTTTCTGCTGGATCCTCACTGCAGCACATGAAACTTTTCCCCTAGCTCAGCACAATCCACACACACTCCTTCAGCCTCTCCTTTGCCCTGGGCATTTGCACACCCTTGGCTGGTGTTGCCTGGCCACACCATTCTGGCCTCCTCATGACCAAATGCAAGGATGACCTTGGTTCCAGGGCCTGCGGGTCCTTGTAACATGGACCTCCTCTCTTGAGTTGCTCACCTGTCCCTGGACTGTTTCCCATGCCCTCCTGACCCCATTTACACTGGAGAACCCACAGAGCACCACTGCGTCCCAATGTCTTCACCCTGGGCATGGCCAACTGAGCCCTCCCACTTGGTCATTGCACTGGCACATGCTGGCCATCTCTTCATTTGGTATCAGTCAGCTGGCCTGGGCTCCTCCTTCACTCCCAACACAGCAAAGGTACTGGGTGAGGCAGCCCTCACATCTCTCTTTTAATTCTTTTTTTTTTTTTTTTTTTGTACTAGGGATTGAACTCGGGACCTTGTGCTTTCAAGGCAGGCACCGGAACCACTGAGCTAGATCCCCAGCCCAGCCCTCACATCTCTCATCAACCCTTCAATTCCTTTCTCACCAAAGATACCAGCCTCCAACCTTCTTCCATTCACTCTGCACCCTACATGTGGTCATTGGAACCCACTGTGCAAATCCTCCCCCTGGCCTTGCTGGCTGCCCTGAGCCTGTACACATCTTGGGCCTGAGCCACAGCCTATGAGAGATGCTGTGCTCCCTGTGCCTCTCTGCCCATCCACCCAGCCACCTACTCGCCATCCATCCATGCATCCCTATCGATCCCCCATTCATTTACCTATCCAAACACCCATCCGTCTAGCCACCCACCAGTCCATCCACCCTTTCACCCATCACCCATATATACATCATTCATCCAAGGAGTTGTCCATGCATTCTCCTCTTCTGCCAATTCCAGTCCGCATGGCAAGGTTTTATGAAAAGGTACAAGAAGGAACACCAGTCTAGGCATAGGCTGTTAGTATCCTTTGGTAAAAGAGCTCCCAGGCAGCTCTGTGCTGAGATCCATTCACTGATACAGATGCAATTTTAATACCTTAATCTAAAAATACTTGGATGGCCAGTTCCTTCCTCGGGTTACTTTTAAGTTCAGTACTGAGCAATGACTCAGCTGCCCATTCTCAGAAGCCAGGGCATTGGAGGTGACTGAAGAGGCAGGGAGATGGTGTGTGCTTAGGGCACAGGTCAGAGGTGGCTGCTCATTACACGAAGGCACCAGACCTTTGATATCACCGGAGTGCTGAGCCAAAGGCCAGCAGCAGGGCACTTCCACCAGGGCCACCCTTCCTCCTCCACTGCCTCCTTCATGCCTTGCACATGCGCATTATCATGTCTTTGTTCTCAAGGGTATCGAACTTGCATATCTCGCCCTTTTTCTGCTGCAAAGGATGTCTGTCAGACACCAGAGCTGAGCAGAGAAGTCTGGTTGCCACAGTGAAATTCTCAAAGGGCCCACTGATGATGGGTGCTCAGGTGGCTCTCAAGCAATGCCTGCTGCCGCCTGGGAGGAGCCAGTGGGTGGCCGCCTGCCTTTGGAATCACCCCACTCACCACCCCGCACAGCTTGCAGTGGTGCTTCCTCTTGGTGATGGAGTTGAAGGTCTCCCTGCAGCTCTTGCAGCTTTGTTTCTCCTTGTCACGTCTGGTCTTAGAGGACAGTTTTCTGAACTCGAGCTATAAGGAGGCAAGTAGCTGCCGTCAGTTCTAGAGAGCATGTGCATCTTATCCCTCTGGGAGTTGGGGGCAGCTTGTGACGATGCCTGTGACATGGACTCAGGGCAAAAGTGGACTATGCTGAGGGAGAGGTAAAGAGCCAAGCCAGCCCTGGCCCCTGCCCAGCCCCCTCCCCCAGGGGCTAACCCCACAATGTATGGTATAGAGCAAAATTCCGTGGAGCAAGACCTTTCTGTTCAGAACAACTTGGCCCATGACTTTATCTGAAAACATTTCTATGGGAGCCCAAGGGGAGGAAGATGCATGCTGGGTTAGGCAGGAGTCTACACAGACATTGAACGGTGCCAAGGACAGAGTGACCCTGCCTGCAGCCCCGGGGCCATGTGGGCCCCAAGATCCCTGCACCATCCGTCATCCAGCCACATGCCTGCTCTGTGTTGGGCATTTGGGGCCATCCACTCCCTGCTGGGCGACACACACATAAACATACATGTGTGCCCACACGCGTGCCTGTGCTGACCATGGGGTGCATCTGGAGGGCACTCAAGGAAGCTGGTGAACCGAGGGTCATGCCCTACTCTGTCTCCTGAGGCCACCTGAACACCCACAGAGGATAGCGGAGTGAAGAGCAAGAGCAGGCTCACCCGGGGCCCCTAGTGGAGCCTCAGGCCTTGGTTTCCCTCTCTCGACCATGAGCAGTATGAAGCTGGAAACAGACCTGAGACTCCTTCTGTGCCCTCATCAGCTAGGAGACTCTGATATTCCTTTCCCTTCTCTGAGGCTCAGTTTCCTCATCTATAAGATGGGGGTGAATAACAGTTTCCTGTCCCTAAACCTCATTCCAGTACATGAATTCCTGTCTGGTCTGGGCAAGTTGCTAGACACCCTTTCATGTCACATGACCCCAGAAATCCCCACTGGGCAATGGAATAGTTTCCTATACTTTTGAATTCCCCCAACACACGTGCCAATACTTCCTCTCCAGGGAGGAGAGAGGGCTCCTGCGAGGCTTCTTGTTGCTGACACAGAAATCATCATCATTAAGATTTTAAGAAATGCCAAGGATATTTATAAAATTCCCAGCGTGCCAGAGCTAGAGCAGCCCCTGATGTGTTTATTTTAACCTTTCTGTGCACACATGGGCAAAGTGAGGCCTAGAGACATTTTTTGTTTACAAAATATCTGAATATCACTAGTATTGCTGGGATTTGTTTTAAAATATTATAGTTTAGAAAAACATATACCTGTGGCAGGGATGGCGAGCCGAGGAACTGAGCACAGCACACAGCAGAAGTGTCTAGAGGTTGGGAAGGGGTGGGGCTCAGTGTACCGCTACCCCTGCGTGGATAGGGCCAAGAGGAGGGACAAGGACACAGGTGGGTAGAGGCCTCAGGAGAAAGAGGTGAGTTGCTTGGACATGGGGGAGCCAAAGAGCGCTCAGGGTTAGGCTGAGCATCGGGGCCTGTGATGGGCTCCACTGGGTCTCCCCCAGTTCATATACTGAAGCCCTAATCCCCTCTTCTTCAGAATGTGAGTATTTGCATAGAGGGCCCTTAAGGAGGTTATTGGGGTAAAATGCCCTTGTGGTAGTGTATGACTGGTATCCCTTTAAGAAGAGGAGATCAAGACTCAGAGACACACACATAGACACACACACAATTATGTGAGGATGAAGGGAGAAGACCCCATCTACAAGCCAAGGAGCAAGGCCTCAGGAGAAACCAACCCTGGCAACACTGACCTCGGACTCCAGCCTCCGGAATCTTTTGTTTAAGTTGAGTAGGTATTTGTTACACCAGCCCCAGCAAACTGATACCATTTCCTTGGTGCAAACTCTGGCCCTGCACCTCCAGCTGTGCGATCTGAGACGTGACCCCCCACCCACCCCATCACCTTGAGGCCAGCACCCAGCCACCTACACGAGGGGCCCCAGGGGCAGGGCCAGCTCTCCAAGGTGACAGAGACACTCCCGATGCTGAGCCCCAGCTCCTCCATCTCATGAGCCACTGCTCCAAGGAGAGAGGTATATGATGGCCTTGGCCCCCCTGAGGTTCACCCCACGCTCAAGACATGGCCAGAACCACAAGTGCAAGGGCAGGTGGGAGCTAGCATCACCCTGGCTCCCCACTGCCTGTGCCTTCCGCATGCCACTCGTGACTGCCAACAGCTCTCAGCGCCCTGCAGGGCTCTCCCTCAGACCGCCTCTCAGGACTGCTAGAGGGGCAAACCCACACTGAGGTGAGGACAGAGGTTCCAGGGCATGGAAGGGACAGAGAGAAGGCAAATGACAGGAAAGGGGAAGGAGGCCATCCTTGGGGCCCGCCACAGCCCCACCGTCTCCACCTGCCTCCCCCGTCAGGATATACACATCTCCGACTTTCAGGGGAGGAATCTGAGGATCCAGGTGGTGAGTGGTTTGCAGCCAGACAGCCCTGACATGTGGCTCTCAGAGACCCTGGGAGGGGTGCCCTGCCATGGTACCACCAGACAGCATTACACAGTAGCGGAGAATCCAGGAAGCTGTGGGGGCTGTGACAGGCTAGAGTTTGTGGCTGAGAGCTCGGCTCCTCAGACCAGTGGGAACTCAATCCCAGCCCAAGTTCAAGGGGCACTTCCTGGAGGTCTCTCACAGTTAGAATAGAAAAGCCAGGCCAAGGGCTTGGACAGGGACCCAGTCCTGCACTGGCTCCCATGATGAGGAGGACTACAGTCCAGTGTGGCCCACTCTTGATGTGGCTCTGCCCGTGATCACACCAGTGCCCAACACAGAGGTCTGGCTGGGTGTATAGCCTGCAGGTGACCAGGTGGCCAAAGGGCAAGGGGCCCACCTGCATGCCAGGGACGGGTATCCTGGCCAACCACACTCCCACTTGGATGAGGTTACTGGGCAGGTAAAGGAGTTGGCCCATTGTGGCCATCATGCCCAGCAGGTCTGATGACAACAGCCTGACTCGGGCCAACTCTGGACATGGATTGAGGCCTTGACTTTGGGGGCTCCCAGGGATATTCTCACTGGCTAGAGGAGATAGGTGGCCAGGAGGAGGAGCCCCTGTGTCAGTTGCGCTCAGAGTCTCTGTGTAGATGTTGGCATCAGAAAGGCCAGGCCCAAGTCTCTCCAGGAAGTTGGAGAATAGTGGCTTCTGCAATAACCAACCAAGCAACTCCAACCCCAAGGACCCCAAACGTGCCAAGGGTGACCCAGAAGGTGGTCTCCACCGAGGGCCAGCAAGGCTGTTCCCTCCAAATTTCCTCTCCATCGGAGTTAGCTATATGTTAGGAAACTGGAGGGACAGTTCAGTAGCACAGCCTCGGACCTCAATCAGCAGCCCTGAGGAAACTTTGTCACTTATACCAGACAGCAGAAGGATACACAATAGGGAGTCCAGGTGAACACAAGCCACAGGCACATGGCCACAGGAAGCAGCCAGCAGAGGCCAGCCCTGGCTCCTCTATTCCTCTCAGGGTGGCTCTGCCCTGGAGTCCAAGGCAGCCTTCAGCATTGTGGGGGAGCCACTGGCACAAAAGTGGCCAGGGCAGGTGCCTCACTGGTGTCTTGGATGAGTCTCTGTGTCACCCATGGTAGGTCTGGAGCCCTTGTGGGATGGCTTTCAGACTTTGATTTCTGAGCTTCTGTTAAGAGCAACTGGACTTTTGCAGAATGCGGAAGTCTGAATTCTGCAACGACTCTTGCAAAACTTCCTGGTTGGGGTTTAAGTTTTCTTAAGAAAGAGAGGCTTACAGAAATGATAGGTCTGAAAGCATCACAGCTCAGGGAATTATACTACCACACCATATCTGGCACATGCCTATAATCCCAGCATTCTAGTGGCAGGAAGATCAAAATCTTGAGCCCAGCCTGGGCAACTTAGTAACTTAGTGAGAATGTGTCTCAACATAAAAAATGCTGTAAAAGGGAAATGGCCTGAGGATGTATTCTGGTATAAAGGCCCTGGGTTTAATCCCAAAAGAAGGAAGAAAGGGAGGGAAGGAGGTAGAGAAGGAGGGAGAGAGAAAGGGAGGGGAGGAGAGAGAGAGAGGAAAGGAAAGGAAAAAGGAAAGGAAAGGCAAGGCAAGGCAAGGAAAGTGTTGAATTTGATATCCTGACACTCTTTGGTGTCAGCCACACACAAATAGGAAGCCACTCTGGGAGCTGAGATGTTTCTGTTATCATTCCCACCTCCACCTCAGGCCATCTTTGAGAGGTTCAAACTTTCTGCCCTTCAGTGTCAACAAAATTTGCCCTCAGTGAGGGTGTCTGCTCTTCAGAGCCAGGCAGTGGCTGGAATAAGGGGCCTCCCCTCTTGCCTGGTGGGTATTTATCTCAAGGTTCCCCCTCTTCCCTGCTTGTCATGTCCCCCAAATGCTTCAGCCTCCCAAAGCCTCATGAGCTTCCTGAAGGTTGCCCATTTCCCAGCCAGCCTGAGCACACGGCCCATGGACCTGGTAACACTCAGGTGTGACTCAGGTGCCACCTGGGCAGAGCCCCACCCCTCCCTGCCAGGGCACCACACTGTTCCACAGGGGGAGTGTCATCCTGTTGAAGAGCTAGGTGACAGGAAGGAAAGCTGACCCCACACCTCATGGCCCAGGATGGCCCTGTTCCCAGGGCAAGCCCTTTTCCCCTGCTTCATCTCACTGCCCTCCACCTCCTCTATAAATGGAGTTGGCAGTGAGGAAACTTGAGTAGTAATGACAACCCTACAGGGTCGTGGCCAGTGGAGCTGTGGTCAGTGACTACAGTCAGGCTGAGTCACTGCCTATCCTAGGTGCAATGAGGTCCAACTACAGAGAGAGAGAGAGAGAGAGCGAGAACATAAGAGTCAAGAGGAAAGAAGAAAGGACAAGCACACGGAGGAGGCAGGTGTGTTACAGAGGATGGGGCTGTGCCCAAAGTAGGCTCTAGAGACCCCGGGAAGAGGAAGAGCCTGTGTCTGGGGTGGGCCTGGGGCCACTGTTACTCTTCTGAGCCAGAACAGCAGCAGGAGGCAGTGAGGAGCTGAGAGAATGGCCACCCAGGGTGGTCTTAGGCTATGTGTCACTGTCAGTGCTGGCCAGCGTCAGCCCCCACAGCTAGCACTGCAGTTCCAGGTGCTGGTACTCAGTTACACCCTAGGCACATATGTGCCTCTTTCTATTTAAAGTCCCCAGATTTGATGGGGGAGAGAACCCCCCGAGGTCACAGATGAGTCCCTAGCCCTGTGCTATGCCTTTGGGGGTGGCACTGTCCTAAGGTGGACGAGAATGCACCTGGAGAGAGGTAAGCAGGCCAGGCCTCCCTGACGCCAGCTCCAGGTGAGGGGGGAAGCTACTCATCTTCTTTGCATTACTGGAGTCCTTTTAAGGATCAGGGACCTCGTTACTGCACGAGGCATACAGGAGCCCAAGTATTCACAGAGCACTCAGAGGGTTCTTACACGTGCACACAGCTGTGTGCTCACTGCAGGCTCCCCCATGGCCTCCAGTAGGAGCCCCAACAGTGACCACCTCTGGGACCCAAGTCAGGAGTGCCTGGCTTCAGACACAGCCTCACAAGTGTACACAGGCCCTAAGCAAACTGCAGGGCTCAGGCTGACCTCGAGCCACCCCCTCCAGATGCCCTTGTCTGACCCCCCCCACAGCGACTCCCATAAGACCCCTGCTGACCACAGGGTGTGGGTAACTCACCCCTGGGGGACCCCTACTACTGTCGGTCACTACCATGGGCTCTGTGGAGCTTGTGCTCACCATCTGCACAGGAACAGAGAGGCTGTGTGAGTTGGTTCCCATCCTTGGACTCCACACCTCTGTGTATCACAGTCAGGAGCAAGATGAGGAATGTAAGACCAGGAGTGCATGCCACGCCATCTGATAAATGCCAGAATGTGAGGAGGCTCCTTCCTAGCCAAAGGCGTCTAGTGCAATTAGCATTCTGCAGTGTGGCTGGTACTCCACGGCCCACCCTGTTCAGGAGGGTCTAAATTACCCAAGTCACAGAGTGTGGACATCCTCTTGGATTCTCTCCTTGTCCTCAGGGGGTCTCATGGAGAGTCTTTCTAATGTTAGAAACTTTCTGTTAGGAGGCTTGACTGACTGCATCCTCTGTCCCCAGATCACCTCATAGGCATCTTCCTTCCCAGGAATGGTACAGAGTTGTCCTCCAAAATACACCCAGGAAGCAGAAAAAATCAAGCAGATTTGATGCAATCAAGTGATCTACAGACAAAGTGAGCATGAAGCGGGGCAGGGAGTGTGGCCTGGATGTGGGCTGGGGATTGCTGGGCTGGCTGGGGAACAGCGGTCCCTCCCCCATGCACTGTTGACGGTGCACTGCCCCCCACAAAGACTGGAGATGAGGGCATTTCCTTTCCTGATCACCTCTTCCCAGGTGCCCTTGTTGTGACTCCGGTGGCCCCCACCCTGTCACTGCAAAAGAGTAACCACTCTGGGGCCTTCCTTGCAATAGACAGAGATTAACCCCCATGTTCAATCCTCTGTCCCTGACTCCACGGAAGCTGAAACAGGAGGGATGGCAAGCTTGGTCCCTAGCCTCAGCCCTGCCTTCCCTGCCTGATTATTCAGTGGCCTCTCCACAGCCTGCCTCTTGCACAACCCAAATCTCCTTATGGAATCAGCCCCCTGAACCCCAGGGCAACTCCCCAAGGGGTGCACATGAGCTCCCCGCAGTGCTCTAAGCCCGTATCTTCTAGAGCAGGGGAGAAAATACAACTGCAAAAACATGTCTGCAGGGTGGTTGTTTTTTGTTTTGTTTTCTTTTGTTTTGATGGTATTGGGGTTTGAACCCAGGGCTTTAATACTGAGCTATATCCCCAGCCCCTTTTTATTTTTTATATTGAGACAGGGTCTTACTACGTTGTCAAATTGCCCAGGCTGGGCTGGAACTTGTAATTCTCCTGCCTCAGCCTTCCTGAGTGCTGGGATTTTAGGCACTTGTGAGGCACCATGCCCAGCTGAGGTCTGCAGCTACTGGAACAGCCTTGAGATGCAGGAAGAGTGCCATGAACCAGGGATCATGGCTGTACCCTAGTGGCCTGGTTGCATCACTGAGCTTCTGTGAGACTCAGGGCAGCCGTGCAGAAGGGACAAGACAGCAAATGAGCACGCAGAGGAGCACTTGCTCCATGTAGACACTGACCTGCAAGACCGAGAGGCCACAGGCTACAGTGGGCACTCAGTGGTGGTGGGGGGGGCAGGTGAATGCACCTCGGAGCTTCCCACCTTGGTAGGCAGTCAACCCCCTCCCTGACCCAGGTGCCGACTCACAGGCGAGTCTGGAGATGGGCTGGGATCCTCGTCCTGGCTACAGGTGCTGCTGAAGGCCCTGAAGGTCTCACTGTTCTGCTTGTGCTTCTCGATGGTGGCCTGAATGACCTGTACACAGCAAAGCCACAAGACTGTCAGAGCCGGGGGGCACTTTGACACTGCAGGGGTGTTCATGAAATATGGCCCAGGCCCCTGACCGTATTTCTCCTAAGCAATGGTGCAGGTTCTCTCTTGGAGCCTTCTAGCTTGAAAAGACCACTTTGGAGAGAGGATAGTTCCACCATGATCTCTTCTGCTTCATTTAGTTCTTCATTAATATTTCAATTTTATTTTTAGACAAGATCTCTCACTAAGTCATTCAGGCTGGCCTTAAACTTGTGGTCCTCTTGCCTCGTCCTCCCATTTAAGGCCCATTTGTTTCTGTTGATTTATATAAGGAGGGGGCTCAATTTGACAAATAGACTGAAAAGCTTGGCTTATCTGAAAGTGCCTACAAAGACAATGATAGTTATGGCCTCACTTCAGGGCGGGACACCGGGACAAGCTGTGTTGGTCCACCCCTTCTCTCTGCTCCAATGCTACTGCTCGATAACTTGGGGACTTGGTTACTTCAAAACTTTAGATGCTTCACCTACCTGAATCCATTCTTTCTTCTCTTCTTCTGTCCTAAAAATGAAAACAGTAGTTTTGAATCTGGTCGTGGATACTGACTATAAACTCCCAGGTTCCTCTCAGTCTTGACCTGATTCACCTGAGAGTTTAAATATTTGGCCTGGCTTGCTGTGTGGACTCCGTGCAGTGATGTAACACAACACCTCCCTGGCCCCCAACAGGTAATTCCAAAGCTCTCATGTAATTAGCGATGTGTGGAAGGCTGGACCTCCCACACACTGCCAGTCAGAGCCTGGCCTTAAAGGGTAAAGTGACCACACCCACCGAAATTTAGGACAGCAACTCTGATCAGCAACTGTCAGATATATCTGATGAACACTGAACACCTCAACACAGGCACAAAAGCCTAAGTATGAGAATGCAACTAGCAGGACCATTTACAATAGTAGGTCCCAGGAGGAGCCTAAATGCCTGCCCATGGGAACTGGTTAATGATCATGAGGGAGAATTTCGCTGCTTTAGGAAATGGCATAAGGATATGGGATGATTCCTCACAAATCTGATGAAAAAAGCAAGACACAGAAACAGATTATCCAGTAGCAGCCACCTGGGATATGATATATATATCATATATACATCTGTGATGCTCACGCAGCAGCACTCATGAGGCCCACACCATACCGAGTCTGAAGCTCCAGGCACCGTTTTCTTCCCGTCAGGATGAATGTATGCACTGCATTTGGCTTCCCAATATCCTGCACCTGAAGAACAAAGGACAAAACACAAGACGGTCATATTAGCTCTTCCTGGACACCAGCCTCCTGTTCTCTGACTTGGAGGTGTGTCCCTGGGGAGGTGTCAGAGGTGACCTAGCAGGCTCTCCAGTCTGCAGGGAGAGGACACTGAGGCTCAAGGTCATGGTGGCTCATGGAGGCCACCGCATGAGCTTCTCCCTGGGGAATGGAGGCTGGGATCGCCTCATCCTCTGTGCTTGGCAACACTGCTGACCAAACCCATGGCCCAGCAGGCCTTTCCTAGAAGTTACCCCCAGCCAGCCCTGGCCCCCCCCTCCCCCACCAGCACGGCTGGGCACCCCCTCTCTGCAGGAGCTGCACCTCTTTAGGAAGGATAAGGATCTTATGAGAAGAGCCAGGAGTGCCCCGGCCACCCTGCAACACCTGAGCCCACAAGGACAGGTGCATCCTCAGTTTAAAGACGTAAGTAGGAAAACGTGCACCCAGTTGGAAGTGATGTAGCAGGGGCATTTCTTCCTGAAGTCTCAGATTCCATTCTCTTGACCAGCCCACAGACTGCAGAGGCAGTGCTGGTGTTCCTGGGGGTCCGTGAGCTGACTCCCATCAGAACCCCCAGCCCTTACCGGCCAGCTGCTGATTTTAGGGAAATATATACCCTGGACCCTGTCCAGAACTTCCAGACTTCCCCAACCCCAAGGTGAGAATTGTACTCACGTATCAAAGTCTTTAAAACAAGACTAATTCTTATGAACAATGGGAAATGGTTTCTTCTAACTATGGAAAAGGTTTTCTTTTCTCTAGTCATTGCTTATAATTGTTTTTTCTTCACCTAGATTCAGAGAATTTCAAGGGAAGGGGGATTCTCTGGGTGTCGTTTAAGCAAACTTTTACTTTTTCAAGTGATTAAATACTTTTATTTAATTAACATTTTGGAACACCTGTTAATTCAAAGCTCTCCCCACAAGGGATAAAATTCCAGCCTCCACCACTGTGAGACACGAAACAGGCTCACTGGATAGGGGACAGCGAAGATGCACAGGTGCCTAAGAACCCTCTCTGGCTGTGAGACAGTATAGGTGGAGAGAGCTCTGAGCCTGGGATCCAGGCAGGGCAAGTAGCCCATGCCCCAATCCAAATTTGCCCCTGCACCCAAACATCACCAGTGAGTCTTTAAGTAGGGCCCTTAGTCCCAACTTCTACTACTGCCCACCACTACTGCCTACAGTCCCCGAAGCTGTACATTTTAGTTTCCTAACGACCTCCTATCTCCACTCATCCTTCAACATGAGGCCATCAGGAACCTGACAGATGAATTAAACCAGAGAGTGGAGAATCCTGCCCACATCAGGCCAAGATAATGTTCCCGCAACCCTTTGGTCACAGACAGAGTTGATGGCCAGAGCCTAACATCCCCAGCTCTGCTTAATGCCCCTCTGGTGGGCGAAAGCTTTGGGAGAAAGGGGTCACCCACCTGGAGACCAGAGATGTCCATCTTCTCACGAACACTGAATTTCTGTCCCATGAGCCGCAGTTTAGGCACACAGTAGAGGACCATGCTGTTGAACTGCAAGAGGGCGGCATGGTGAGGGGCCTGGGAGGTGCTCCCATAGGACCCTTGCAAGGTCTCCTCTAAGGTCATTTTTAAAAAGATGTGCACAGTCATTTTAACCATGTTTACATCTCTGAGGGAGGAGACTGTGGACAATGTCTTTATTCTTGTTCAGTTCCTATTTTTGACTTTGCCACATGCACATGGCTAATTGTGTAATGAGGAAGCGAACCTTTTGAATGAGCTATGGATGCATACACAGGCAGGGATGGATCACAAACAAATAGGCCAAGTGAATGAAGCCAGATGCATCTCATGGCATTTATGTGGTACCCTGGAAAAGTGAAACTATAGAACTAGAGAACTGATCAATGGTGGCCAGGGGCTGGGTCGTCACTTAACAGAGAGTCAGGACAAGGGAATTTGGGAGGAGTAAGAATTGTGTCTCTTCTAGCTATGCCAGGTGCCTGGAGCATTTCTCATTGTAATTCCTTCCTGTCTTCCCCCACCCTCTAAGTCAGGGTCTGGCTCTGGGATAGTTGGAGCCAAGATGCGCCACTACAGTCAAAAGCAAGAGATGACGGCAGCAAATGGGGCGGAGCTGCTGACAAAGATGATGCCAGCAGTCCTAGTAGGAGAGGAAGTCCACAGATGATCCTGTCCTTGGGCCACCAAGCCCTGCCAGCACTGCCCAGGGCCTGGAGGGGTAGGCAAAGGAGCTCTGGAGCTGGACTGGGAGCTGGGCTCACCAAGAAGAGGTGACGATCCTGGGCAGTGCCATTTTTGGCTGACAGCTTCTGGATGTGGCCTTCCTTGATCAGCTCATTGGCTGGGTTCACGATGTCCTCCTCCCCACCCAGTTGCTCATACACCTCCAGGAGCTTGTGCATTTTCTCCTGCAAGAAACATGGGGTCAAGCAGAGGCTGCTGGGGACCCAGAGTCAAGTGGGACTTTGCCCTGCAACTGCGACCCAGAACCCCAAACAGGACAATGATCCTATAACAACAGAATGGAGGGAAACGCTGGGAAGCACTCAAGTCAGATACTGAAGAATGAACAGAAGTTCACCATGCAGAGAGAATAATAATAATATTATTATTATAACAGTTGTTTCCATTGCTCTTGTCAAGTACAATTCTATACACAGTACATGCTTTAACTCATTGAATTCTATGAGATGGATGCCATTATTATTCCCAGTTTACCAAAAAAGAAACTAAGGCATGAAGAGGTCAGTCGAAGGACTACAATCCAGACTGTGCTAATCTGAGTGTCACCTTTCCCAGGTCATGGTGACTGGCTGGATGATTACATAGCAAACAGCACCCTGTAGTATGAAGGGACAGGGTCAGCAGCTCGTGGTCCTGGCCCTGAGTTGGAAGCAAACACAGCAAAAGGTAGGACTGAACCTGTAGGGCCCTCCACAGTAGCAGCATGTTCTGATCTGGACCTGCTGTGCCTCAGCAGCTGTTGCCTTTGGACTTGAATAATTGCAACTGTGTACCTGGAAGCAGGTAGTTTAGGGTAACCCTGCTGTCTGTGCCACATAGGTATGGGGAACACTAAAAGGACCGACAGGGAAAGGTTGAGGACTTTGTGGGAATTAGGGAGAATGACCAGGTACCTGGTGTAGGTGCAGGGGCCCTCAGTGTGCTGGCTTATACCTGGCATGTTCCAGGGGGCTGCACTTAGACCTGGCCGGTACTGGGGAGGTTGGGCATGCGCCTGGCCTGTACTGGGGTGGGGGACTCAGCATACACATGCCTGGCTCGTACTGGGGTGCTGAGCATGCACCTGGTATGCACAGGGAGGCTAGGAATTTCCTGGCAGGTACTGAGGGAACTAGGTGTGGACCTGATATGTTCTGGGGGGCTGGGTGTTCACTTGGTATGTAGTGGAAGAGTGTTAGATGTGTACCTAATGTGTACTGGGGGAGCTAAGTGTGTGCTTGGTGTGTACTGGGGGAACTGGGTGCGTTTCTGATGTGTGCTGGGGATGGGAGTATACCTGCCATGTACTGGGGGACCAGGCATGCACAGGACCACCACATGAAAAGGACCCTGCACTTTCAGTGAATGAATAATGATGACAATAATGAGAGCTAGCCCTTATTATGGCTGTTCAGGGCACACTGTATATAATAATTCTTTCAATCCCCATGAAGCCCAAAGATACTAGGCCTGTCAGGGCCCCTTTTTCAAAGATGGGGAAACTAAGGCACAGAGTGCTAAATAACTAACCAAAGACCACAGATCTAATAAGAAGCATGCCCCTCCAGCTCGAGATGGAGTCCCTAAGCACCCTGAGGACAGGGAGAAGGTGCCACAGCCCACCCACCCTGCTTTCTCTGCTCCACTCTACACCCCTCTCCAGCGGTGGCACTCACCATTTTCCGAATGGCCGCGTTGGAATGGTTGGCAGCTGTGGAAATGAGCTCCAGGGACCCTGTACAAAAAGGACCCAGATCAGCTGGACAGGCGGTGGCTTTGCACATTCTCACCTGAGAGGCTGACTCTGGAGCTCAGGCAGCTGCCCCTGTGGGAAGGCGCTGTCCCTGCAGGTGACCTGGCTCTTCCCCACCCTAGCCCAGGGACAGGGTGAGGCCTCTGGCTAACACCACGTGGGAGCCCCCACACTCCTGCACAGACTCCTTCCTGTGGACCCACTGCTGAGGCCTAAGCTCCAGACAGGGAGTATTTGGTAGCACTTTCCCCAGAATGAGCATTTGGTCACAGGCCAGGCAAGCAGGATCTTCCTTTGCCCTTACTCACTATGTCGCTTCCTGACCTGTTAGGGGCCAGTTCTCTCTGTCCTTCCTCAATGTCTCTGTGTCCCTGATTCTGTCTCTGTCTAACTGTCTCTCTCCCCCTCCATCTCTCTCTCTTTGTGTTTCTGTCTCATTCCATCTCTCTCTCCCTCCACTGTCTCTCTGTTCCTCTGATTCTGTCTCTCTGCTTCTCCTCCCCCTATTTCCCTATCTCTTTGTGTCTATCTCTCCGTCTCTCTCTCTCTCCCTCTGTGTCTCTCCCCTCTGTTTCTCAGTCTTTCTCTGAGTCTCTCTCCCTCCTCTCTCTCTGTTTCTGTCTGTCTGTCTCGCCCCTCTGCCTCTATCTCTCTAATCTTTGTGTCTGTATGTCTTTCCTCCTTCTCTTTTCCCTCCCCTAGTGTTCACAGCAGATTCCCCCTTCCCCCTCTCAGGACCCCTGAGCCTGGCAGCCACCTCCACTCACTCTCAGCATCCTTGCGGTCTGGGGCATCCTCAGGAAGCCTCCTCAGGTAGTCATTAAGCAGCAGCTCGTAGCGGGGGACCCTCTGCACGGGCTCTAGCATGTGGTGCTGCAACGTCAGGTTCCCACACACTTCCTGCTTCTACAAGACAGAAGCAGCATGGCGGGTAAGGACACATGTGTGGTCACCACAGCCCCAGGAGGCTTCCCAGAGCTGTCTGCTCTTTAAGACCCAACCAGCATGTTCACCATTTACAACTGGGGAAACTGAGGCTCGAGCAGCTGAATAATGTTGCCATAACCAGAACCCAGGTGGGCTGACTCTAGACCCACAGCTTGCTTTTTACACACATCCTTATTGCAGAAAATATAGCAGAGACAAGACTGCTTCCTCCCACTTCCTCCCAGAGTTACTGTCCCCAACTACATTTGCCATGAACTGGAGCTGAGTCCCCTTCTTCTTTGATGGAAAATGGAGCAGAGCTTCACCCAACTCACCCTACAGATAAAATCAGGTGAGGGACTCTCCGCATGGCCAGAAGTTGCCCTGAGAGTCCTCCCATCATAAACACAAGCAAGGGAATTTGAGAGGACAGGTAGGGTGCTGTGACCCTGGTGTCCAGGGTCTGCCCTGCCTCGCTAATGGCTCCCAGCATTTCCCACTTCTCTCTGACTTGAAGTTCTCTCTTCCAGAGCTCTAGCAGCAACTTGCTGCTCCCTGGCGTAAGGTAGACCCTTAAGCCCGCATCACAGCCCCAGATATGTACAAGGGGCTATCAAAATATATAGTGAATGTTTAAATTCTAAAAATTTATTATGGTAAAAGACACATTGCCTTTAACCCCCCTCAAACGAGTCACCCCCTTTTCTAACATACTTATCCCATCCTTCTTGACACTTTCCGAAGCAGTTCTGGAAGTCCTCTTTTACATCTTTACAAGGTGTGATAAAAAAAATACAGTAATTGGGGCCAGAGATTTAGCTCAGTGGTTCTGCCACCTGCCCTGCAAGCGCAAGGACCTGAGTTCAATCTCTGGTACCAAAAATTACAAAAAAAACAAAACCCAAAAAACAAAACAGTGACTGCTGCTGCTGAGTGCCATCCAATGGAAAGGCAGACTGGTAAAAACATTCCTGTGTGTCCTTATCCCCCACATTCACCAGTATGGGCACTGTGCAACCTCTGGCTCTTTCCCAGAGTCAAAATGACCAAGAAAAATAAATGTTTGGAATCAATAGAAGACATTGAGGCAGCCAAGACAGTTCAACTAAAGACACTTATGACAGAGGACTTTCAGAACTGCTTCAGAAAGTATCAAGAACTGTGGGAGAAGTGTGTTCAAAGCAAGGGGAAGTCCTTTGAGGAGGGTTAATGGCAGTGTATTTTTCACTATAATAATTTACTAAGTTAACATTCACTGTATATTTTGATCATACCACACACAGCTGTGCTCCACTTGGAGTTTCCTGAGCCTCCTTACTTCCTCCTCCCCTGGAAATGCTCATTTAAAGCATCTTGGCTAAGAGGGCCTGCTGCTCCTGTCCCACTGCCTCCCAGCTTCTGCCATCCTTCCCACCTGCCTCTGGAGGGTCTCAGCCACCTTTATCCACTCCAGGAAAAAATGACTTCCAGCTCAGGTGAGCTCAAAACTGCCCTTGATACAGCAGAGCCAATAACATCCTACTTTGCAACCTTTGTGAAAACAGTTGTTTCAGACAAGAATCATTAAGGGATGATGAACAACAGGATAGTTACATGATTTAACAGTATCTCCCCACAAAAAAACCTTATGAATAGAGAGCAAAAATCTGACTTCATGGTGGAGAGGCCTGGCAGACCACCCTTAATCAAGTGAGAATCCCCAGAAATGGGACAAATGGAAGATGTGTGTGGCCAGGCAGGGCCCGGTGACAACATGACCTCACTCCAGTGAAACCCACTAGAATGCACAGCCTGTGCCAGATCACGGATGAACAGCCGACAAACCCAACCTCCCCTGGAGGAGACGAGGACAGAGGCCTGTGCTAAACGAAAGGAGACAAACTTGATAATGAATACAATGGGTGGTCTTGGGTTGGGTTTTGGACCAGAAAAAAAGAAAAAGAATGTCATTGGGATAACTGGTGTCATCTGAGTGTGGGGTGTGAAATCAATAGAACTATGACATCAGTGCCAAAATTCTGGATTTTGATCACTGTGCTGTGGTCATGCAGGAGAATAGTCTCACCCACTTTTAGCAATAAAGGGCTACAATATCGGCAACTAAGTCTCAAGAAACTCAAAAATAATCATATGTATGTGTTTAGAGAAAAAGGTAAACGGCACGATGTTATCTAACAGTTTGTCATTTTTGCAACTTTTCTGTAAAGGTTTGAGATTATTTAAAAACAAAAGTTTCAATAATTTAAAATATGCTTTGGGTTGAACAAAGGAAACCTTCCAAGACTATGGGAAACTGGACCACAACTTGATCCCGTTTGGGTGGTGTCAGGATTTCTCAGCCTTGGCCCCATACATTAGGGGTGGAGAATTTTCTGCCATGAGCCATCCTGAGCACTGCAGGGCATCCCTAGCTTCCACCCATTGAATTATAGGAGCAACATCAATGTCTACAGACAGGGCCCAAGTCCTTGGGGCAACGTCACCTGCAAAGAATGGCTGTGTTGTGCTGAGTCTGAGGTGCAGACCCTTCCCATGGCCTGCTGGGCCCAGCACCTGACATCTCACCTACCTACAAGGACACACTGGTCAGCAGTCAGCCTGTGACCAGAGGCTTTATCCACTAGCAAATGTCCCCAGGCAGATGCTGCTCAGTACAGTGCAGTGCCAGTGTGGCCACTGCAGACAACCATCTGTCATCTCTATCTTACAAGTGTCTCATCCGCTAAGGGCCTGCTGTACCCAAGAACTTGGTCTGCACTGTGGATATGGAAACTATAGTCCACGCGGGGCCAAGCACTGTCTCACTACTCAGGAGGAGCCGCTCATTGAGCTCCATGGCACCCACATGTCACCATGCTGTGGGATTGTGTGAATATTTTAGTGTCACAACATCTCCCCAAAGGAAGTCAAACTCCCCAAAATATGCCCCCCCCAGCTTGATGGGCAATGTGGCAAGAAAAGCAAATGAATCCTGATTATGTCTTTCGTTTTCTGTTCTAAAACAACCAATCCAAATATCAACTGGCCAATGCAAATTTAGAGTTCAGCTTCCTCAGTTATAGCATTGTGATGATGATGATGGTGATGGAGGAGGAGGTAGGGGAAGAGAAGAAAAGAAAAAGAGCAAACTTAAGCTTCTTCAAGACGAAGAATACCTAGGTCACTTGGAGCCGGAGTCAGGGGGAACTGGGGGACCCCAGCCAAGGTGTCTCTTGATAATTTACAATGCACTGGCAAAAGACTATAAGGAAAGGCACTTACGCAACTGTGTCCTGGAAAGGAGAGTTTTGTCTTTGTTCCCTCTGCAGGGCTGCAGAACCATAGCACTTGGCTGGCCTATAGGCTTCATCTTCTCAGAAACCCACTTGGGATGCTCCCTGTCTGCCCCTCAGGCCTGGATGTCACCACAGCTGTGCATGGCTGGAGCTAGCCCCACAATGCAGGAAGCACAGGCTCCCAGACAGGTGACACAAGAGTCCTGAGGCAGCTGCTGTGTCAGTAAAGGTGGAGCATGGAGGTTCATATCCTATGAACCACAAACACTAATTTATGCTGCTAGGCCCCAATTCCCCATCTGTGAAGTAGGAATGGTAATTTGTCCCTGGGAATCATTATGAAAATCAAAGCATAAATGGAGCATCTGGACATGTCCCATAATTTTACTGATTTTCTCTATATCCCCAAATTTCAATGAACTCATCTACTAACTTTGGATGTACAAAAACACATTATCTGTCTCTCTCACGCACACACACACGCCCAGCTCTATGCGTCTTGAGGCTGTCTGCATGCAGCCACCTACCTGGATGCTGTGGACAACTTCCTTAAAGGGCAGAGAGCGCTGGGTCCACGTGCTCACCAGCCCCACTGCCCGGTCAAAGTTCTTGACATACTCGCCATACATCTTTAAGAATGGGGCCAGCTTCTGCAGGATGTCCCCAAGCCGGGGATTTGTGTTCCTTTGTGGGGGAGAAAGATCATCAGGGAAACACCCTGGTTAGGACAAGAGCTCCTGACTTTAGGGGGCATGAACTTCACCAGGGGCAGACAAGGGCAATGGCCCGACTCTCAGCACCGTGTGGTGGTGGGCACACTGGTCACCCTCTCTGAGTCTGTTTCTTCCTCTGTGCCACATGAGGTAGAACATAAGGTGTTACTGGGAGATTAAAGAGTAGGATGCCAGGGGCCAGGGATTTAGCTCAGTGGTTTCGCTGCCTGTTGTGCAAGCGCAAGGACCCAAGTTCGATCCCCGGTACCAAAAAAAAGAATAGGATGCCAGCCAGGCCTAGTGGTGTATGCCTGTAATTCCAGTATTTTGAGAAGCTGAGCCAAGAGAATCACAAATTTGACCCAATCCAGGCAATTTAATGAGTTGGTATCAGGGATTGAACCCAAGGCCTTCACACTGAGCTACATCCCCAGCCCTTTTTTTTATTTTTAACTTTGAGACAGGTTCCTGCTAAGCCGATACATTACCCAGGCTGAGTTTGAACTTGGGTCCTCCTGCCTCAGCTTCCCAGAGTGCTGGGTTTACAAACCTGTGCTACCACACCTGGCTCATTTTGCATCCTTTAATGAGCAAAGGTTAGAAACAATGAGTCTATTCAATGTTACCAAGGTCACAGGAAGAGTAGCACTTTGCAATATTGATAAGAAAACTTACTGACATTTTGGGACAGGGCTTTTACAAATAAGTTCCAAGAAGTGAAAAACATTAATAGCCTTTTGTGCTAAAGACTCTAAGTGAATAACCAAAAACAAAGAAAAAAATCCATAGGCACCAAGCCATTGCTCCAAGTTCCTACCATAGTGCACACAAAGCTTTGACTGAAAGGCCCAGCAACAGGGTAGGGTGGGTAAGGGGTAGAACTTCTGTGCCATTATCATAGAAGGAGCTGAGAAGCTGAGGAGGCCATGGTTGGGTCTCCAGGGCCTGGAAGAAGAAAGCCTGTGTCTAGCAGGTGTGGGCTTTGTCAGCCAGAAGATTCATACCCAGCCCTGACCACCTTGGGGGTACAGTGTAACCTGCTTTGTGACTGGATTCTATCCTTCTGAAGATTCACAAAGTGACCTGGTCCTGTCCTGAGCTACTGGTGAAAACACATCCCAGCCAGTCTTCCTAGCTCTGGGCTCAGGAGGCACCTCAGGGGAGCCAGGGCTTCGAGGAACCGGACAGCAGGGGCCCTAAGCAAACTTTGGGTATCCCAGCATAGGGGCAGGGCAGCCAAAGAGAGCAATAGTGATGGTTCATCAATTCAACTGCACCTAGCTAAGAATGGGCAGAAGTGGAGAAGGGGCAGGAGGAGGCGGACCTGCAGTGCAACATCACAGCAAAGGTGGTCTACATGTTAGGAGGGAAAACAAAATCAACTAACACTTCTTGTTCACTGTTTTGTGTTTCCAGACATAAAAAGTCATTTATTTAAATCCCCCTAAATGCATTCTCATCATCAGCTTCCTCAGAAGCTAAGGCTTGGAAACACTAAGAGACTGGTCAAGGACACCCATCAGGAAAGGGTGCGGCTGGGATTGGACCTAGCGCCATTCTGGGAAGTAAGGTGCCTCGGCCACCATAAGACAGTCCCCCAGGCACCTGCCTGAATTCCAGGCACAGCAACTGCAGTGTAGAGGCCCCGGGGCCCTCGGGCAGTGTGGACGGTACTCACCACTCCTCTGTGATCCTCGTCCGCAGCTCAGGCAGCAGGAACTGCCCATGGAAGCGATAGATGGAGGAAATGTTAGAGAAGATACCAGTAGTGACTTCTGCAGGGATCCCAGCTTCTGTCAGCCTGGTGCAGAAAACCTGGGCATAGAGAAGCCCACAGTGGTCACTGAGTATGGTCCACCGCGGACAGTGATGCAGGGAAGGCATGTGGGTAAGGCCCTACCTTATGCCCTCTTAATGAATGCCAGAGCCATTGTCTTTGCTTGTCATCAAACAACCTCATGGCCTAACACAGATAGTGAGGGAGGCGGGGCAGTCCCTGGGGAAGGAGCAGGAGTCTTTCCCCTTCTCCCTCTCAGAAGAAATGGGAGGCTGAGACTTCCTTTTCTGTCATGTGAGACAGAAGTGGAAGTAACACACTCTGTCAAACCCTGCTTTCCACAGGTGCTTCATTTCCTGTCCTCAGAAACCCAGTGTTGCCTCGCAGACAGGGATGAGTATCACCCACTGTCCCCAATTGGTTATGCAGAAAAGTACTCAGCAGCCATTCATGTGCTCAGTTAATGCAATTACCAAGAAGAAATGTTCCCAAGAGGATCAGACCAAACCTTTGTCCCAGAGTCACAAGTACTGAAAGCAAAACTGTTTCTAGACTACACTTAAATGTGTCTGAGTTTTAGTATTAAAGCCATTCATATTCCAACTGTAATGTCCAACTGATGCTAAGGGATGGGGTGTTTGCCCCTGAAAGTCAGTGCTTGCCAACTGGGACTCTGGAAGTGGACCAAGGTGATGCCTTGAGCTGTGTGGACATCGCTACCTGGTCCAGCAGGTGTAGTCGCCTCACATAAGTCTCCTCAGTGTGCAGAAGCTCCTGGGCAATGTGGAGCAGCTTCTGGGGATTGCAGCACTGCAGAGAGAAGGGCAGCAAGTCACTGGGGGTAGGGTGGAGAAGTGTACCTAAGCAGGGCTTCCTGCTATGCACCAGGATGAGCAGGGGCCACTGACCTTTGGCCAAAGGAGCCCCCTGGACCTGGGCTACAGTGCTGAGTTCTGATAGACGCTATTTCTGTTTCTGCCAATCTCCCAAAGTGACTGCAGCCCAGAGATGACTCTACCTTCCTGGAGCTTTGACTTAGCAGCCACAGCAACCACATCAAAATCTACTGCAGGGCTGGAGGTACAGTTCAGTGGTACAGTGCTTGCATAGCATGCATGAAACCTTGGGTTTCATCCCAGCACCACCAAAAAATAAAACAAAGCAACAACAGAAAAAAACCCCAGAGTGACATCAGCAAGGGAGATGGCAGGCTAGGAAGCAGCAGGCCTCCCTCCCCACAAAGACATGGATTTGACAGCAATATGTGGGCTAGAAAACCTTTAGCAGAATTCTAGAGACCAATTGGAAGCTACAACACCCATGATTGCAAACTAAAGAAGAGACTCAAGGGAAAGAAAAATTGGTGACATTTGGTGTACCTGTCTTAGTCCATTTGTGCTGCAGATAACAAAATACCTATGAATGGGTATTTTTAAACAATAGAAATTTATTTCTTATAGTTATGGATACTGGAAGTCCGAGATCAAGCTACTTGCAGTTTGGGTGTCTGATAAAGGCCAGGTCTCTGTTTCCAAACATCAAGAACACTTGCCTTCAGATGATGGAAGGGGTGGAAAGGCAAAGGAGGTAAGGGGTGGGTGCTAGGTCCTCATGGAGCAGAAAAACAGAAGAGACTGAACCCATGAATTCCCTTCCTTCCTTTAATTTAATTTATTTACTTACAAGTTGGAGAATCCAACTCAGGGTCTTGAACATGCTAGGTAAGCACTACCACTGAGCCACACCTCCAGCTCCTCCTCCCTTCCTTTTTTGTAAGAGGCTTATTTCCATCTATGAGGGGTCTGGCTTCATCACCTATTATCTCTCATCATCTCCTAAAGGCCCACCTCTTTGTACTATCTCACTGGTAGCTAAGTTTTAACCTGTGACTTGGGACCACATATGCAATCCATAGCAGCAGAGCATCTTGGCTGGGAGGTAACAGCCCATCCCAAGGCTCCTCCCACAGGAAAAAAACAAGAGCTAACTATGCTTTTCTGGTCTGGCTTGTCTGAGGCCTGCCCAAAGGACCAGTCTCTGTTCTGTATAAGCAGAGTTTGCTCATGAGACCAGCACCAGAGTTTGAAAGCCACTGAAAGTAAAGGCTGACCTAGGTCTGCAGACAACAAGCGGTAAGGGAGCAGGAGGTCAAAGAGGACAGGAGAGGCTCCAGGACCTCTGGTAAGGCTGCCTGGTGAAGCTCCCCTACGGCAAACTGGCACACAAAGACAGAGAGAGGTGGTTTTTTCAGATCCCAACCAATAAAAGTACAAGGCATACAAAGAAAGAGGAAATATGATTCAATTAGAGGAACAAAATAAAACCCCCAAACCAATCTAAGGAACAGATCTGAGAATTAATTGAGGAAAAAAAGTGTACATAATTGGATAATGTGTAAAACTGCTGAAAGAGATAGAAGAGAACACAAATAACTAAGCAAAATCAGGAAACAATGAACAAAATGTATCAACCAAGAGATTAAAAACTATGGAAAAAATGAAACATTCTGGGACTGCAAAATACAATAACTGACCTGAGAAACTCATAAGAAATAGGTCAGCAGTGGATTTGATTAGGCAGAAGAATCAGAAAACTTTAAGAGTGTCATTTAAAATCACAGTGTCAGAGGAGCAGAACAATGAAGAAAAGCAAACAGATCATGAGGGACCCATGGGACACATCAGATAAACCAGTCTATGCACGTCTGAGGCACAAAGGATGAGGGAGGGAATGGAACAGAGAATTTATTTTAAAAAATAATGGCTGAAAAACCCCCAAATCTGAGGAAAGAAATGGGCATGGAAATGCAAGGAGCTCAAACAACTCTAACTAACCAAATAAATCAACAGAAAACTGCACGTAGACAAGCTATAATCAAATTGTCTGAAGTCAAAGACAATCTTTAAAGCGGCAAGACGAAAGTAATCTGTCTCATACATAGGGACTTCCATAAGGTTACCAGAGGATTTTGCAGGGGAAATTTTACAGGCTAGGAGAGAGTGATGATGTATTCAAAGTGCTGAAAGAAAAAAAAAACCTCAACCAAGAATACAGTGCTGGGCAAAACTGGCCCGAAAAAATGCAGGAGAGGGCTGGGGTGTGGCTCAGTGGTAAAGTCCTTGACTAGCATGTGGGGAATCCTGGGTTCCATCCCAAAGACTACAAAAAGAAGGAAGAGGAAGACCATGGGAAGGAAACAGGGAGGGAGACAAGGACAGGGAGGGGAAGAGAAACTAAGATAAACAAACTGAAGGGACTTCATTACCACTGGATCTGCTAAAAAAAATTTTTTTTGAAAGCAGTCCTTCAGGTTGAAATGAAAGGGTGATAAACAGCAACATAAACCATACATACGGGGTGAGGATATTGCTCAGTGGTAAAGAATTTGCCTAGTATGTACAAGGTCTATGGTTTATTCCCCAGCACCACACACGCACAAATTTAGATTGGCTGAATGGACTAAAAATAGTGGCATCCAACCATATGCTATTTACAAGAAACTTACTCACTTGGGGTATAAGGACATACATGAACTGAAAGTGAAAAGAACAAAAGGATGCAAATGGTAACCAAAAGAAAACAAGAATGGTCATATTTGTAGCAGACAAAATGGACTTTAATTCAAAAAGTATTACAAGAAGCAAGGACACTGTATAATGATAAAAGGGCCAAGTCACCAAGAAGATGTAATAATTGTGAATATTTATGCACTGAGTCTCAGAGGTTCTAGATATATGAAGCGAATTTTGATAGACTTGAAGGGAGAAATAGGTTCCAAGAAATGGAAAGTTGGAAATTATAATACCTTACTTTCAATAATGGATAAAATAACCACATAGAGGATCAGTAAGGAAATATGAGCCTTGAAGAAAACTAAACAATTATGCTTAGCAGAAAAATACAGAGCACTCTGCCCAACAGCACCATAATGCACATTATCCTGAGGTGTACATGGAATATTCGTCACATGTAGGCATCAAACAAGTCTTAACAAATTCAAGAAGATTGAAATCATCCAAGTATCTTTTCTAGCCACAATGGAATGAAACTTGAAAACAATAACACAATGAAAATGCACAGGTACATACAAATTAAATAATATACCTTTAAACATCCAAGGGGTAAAAGAAGAAGCCACAAGGGAAATTAGTAATACACTGAGACTAAATGAAATTACAACATTCTTAGCAAAAGTAATGCAAAGAAGGAATTTTACAGCTGTCAATATGTAATTAAAAGAAATAAGATCTTGAATCAACAATCTAAATTTATACATCAAGAAGCCAGATAGAGAAGAGTAAGTTAAACCCAAAGCTAGCAAAAGGAAGGAAACAATAAAGATGAGAACAGAGATAAATGGAACAGAATGTCAAAACAATAAAATCAATGAAATTACAAGTTGGTTTTTTGAAAAGATCACCAGAATTGACAAACCTTTAGTTTCATTAACTTAGGAAAAAAAAGAAAAGGTTTGAATAACTGAAATCAGAAATGAAAGAAGGGAGATTACAATTGACACCATGGAAATTAAAATTTATAAGAGATACCAAGAACCAACATATACCAATAAATTGTATCACCTAGAAGAAGTGGATAGAAACATACAACCTGTAAAGGCTGAATTATGAGGAAATGGAAACTCTGAAAAGATCAGTAATACATAAGGACATTGAATCACTAATCAAAAGCTTTCTAACAAAGAAAAACCCAGGACCAAGCAGCTTCACTGATGAATTCTATGGCAGATTTAAAGAATTAACACAAATCTTCCTGAAACTGCTCCAAAAATTTGAAGAGGAGGGAATACTTCCAAGCTCATTCAATGAATCTAATGTTATCCTGATACAAAACACTACAAGGAGACAAAAACATGGGCCAATATCCTTGATGTATATTGATACCAAATTTCTCAACAAAATAGCACTAGAAACCAAATTTAACAGCATATTGAAAGGATTAAACACCATGAGTATGTTCAATTTATTCTTAGAATGCACCTACAAAAATCAACATACAAAACAACATACAAAAATCAATTAATGCAATATATCACACATTAAACAGAATGAAGGACAAAAAAGACATCATCACAATGGATGCAGAAAGTGCATTTGACAAGATTGAACACCATTTCATGATTAAAAACACTCAACAAACTGGGAATAGAAGTAAACAACATCAATATAATAAAGGCAATATATGAAAAGCCCACAGCAAACATTCTATTCAATAATGAAAGACTAAAGGCTTTTCCTCTAAGGTCAGGAACAAGACCAGGTTGGATGCCTACTTTTGCCAACTGTGTTTCACATGGTACTAGAATCCTAAACAGAGCAATCAAGCAAGAAAAATAGTAGAAAAAATTCCTTCAAATTGGAAAGGAAGTAGCAAAATTAAATCAGCTCACAGATGACCTGATCTTATATGTGGAAAATTCTACAGACTCCATAAAAAAACTGTTAGGAGTAATGAACTATCTATTAACCCTTATGCCTCAATTTATCTATTTGTAAAAGAGACCCTGCTCCCAGATCCCCCGAGCATTACCTTGAAAGAATACATGAACTAGTATTGGTCCCCAATACTCTCAGTGCCTTACCCTATGTGCACAAGGCATAGAAAGTAAAAGTACTAAATGTTTTTCTTTTTCTTTCTTTTCTTTTTTTTTTTTTTTGGTGCCAGGGATCGAATGTGAGTCCTTGCACTTGCAAAGCAGGTGCCGGAACCACTGAGCTAAATCCCCAGCCCCAAAAGGACTAAATGTTTTAAGTCTAATTTGGCCTTAGTTATTTTATTAAGCCCCTTTTATGAATACAGAGTCTGTGGTAGGATGCATGAGAATCTTTCCCGGAAGCAGTTTCTTTCTGGGAATGGGCCCAGCCCTCCTTCTCTACCTGGCCCAGTTCCCCCCTAGGCCCCATGGGTAAGGGAGCTTCATCCCTGGCTAGGCTACCTCATGGATACTCCAAAAGCTGGATGATTTGCTGACCAAGAAGTGTACTGGATTACATCCTTAATCTTTCCATGGTGACTTTCCTTAATTATTTTCAACATTTTCTGACTAATTTTTCACAGTGCAGAGCTTGGATCTGCTGATTTGATGGGTGTGTACACCTGTGTCACCCCCCTCCATCAGGATCTCTCTTTCTATCTCATGTAGACTGGATCTGAAATGTCCCCCAAAAGCTATGTATTAAAGGCTTGGGTCTCAGCATGGCGCTCCTGGGAGGTGGTAGAGCCTTAAGAGGCGGAGCCTAGTGGGAAGTCTTTGGGTCATTGAGGGTGTGGCCTGGAAGGGAAATGTGGGATACAGTCCCTTCTTCTTTCTCTCTTTCACTTCCTGGCCATGAGGTGAGTGGTTTTACTTTGTCACGTACTCCTGTCGTGCATCACCACAGGACCAAAGCCATAGGACCAACTAATCATGGACTGCAACCTCTAAAACTGTGGGCCAAAACAAACCTTCTATCTTTGTAAGGTGATTGTCTTAGGTATTTGTAGTGATGGAAGGTTGACTAAAACAGGATGAGGCACAATGTCCTGGGCTCCTAGGCCAATGTTTCCTCAGAGGACCACCTGGTGTGTGGTGAATGGTGTCCTAATCCTGTGCCCCAAAGTGGGGAAGACAACCTGTTCTCATTAGTGATGGAAGCATCCAAGTCTTTCTGTTACAGACACAGAGACTTGGGCCTGCCACAGATATGAGTGGATAAGCCTAGGAGTCCGCATTTTTCCAGTCATTTCTTTCCCATATTCTGATAACTTTCTATGTTTATTAGTACATATTTGCTGTATGTATTGACTACATTCCTTGTGGGGAGTTGGTACAAGTACATAACACATCTTAATTCTTTTTAAGTGGCCTCTCATCCCTCCCCTCTCCCATCTCTGGTTGCCCTTCCCATTTGTAGGGGGTCTATTCCTCTATTTCATATTATTTATCTTTTATTTTTCTTTTTAAATTATTTACACTTTAGGCTTCTCATACAATAGAAGTCATGCAATATTTGTGCTTCTGTGTTTGATTACGGTCTCAAAGTTCATCTGTTTTCCTACAAATGCCTCGTATTTATTTTTCTTTATGATTGAATAGTAGTCCATTGTGTTGTAAATACCATATTTTCTTTATCCATTCATTTGTGGGTGCACATATAGGCTGCTTCCAGGATTTAGCTATTATGAGTTGTGCTGCTATAAGCATAAATATGCATGTATCACTGTCATATGATGTTTATATTCTGATACTTTGACATCTGGGCCTTGCTGGCCCTGCAGAAACGGCCCTTCTCCCCCAAGGCCAGCAAACTCCTAGAGATAATAAAGGACTCACCTCTGGTCACATTTTTCAAATGCAAGCCAAGTGTTATCCAAAGTTGCACAAGCGAAAGACTGCTTTGAGAAGGAAGCCCTAGGGTACCCTGCTGTGTAGGGTCTTGATTCCCTGGGATTTGATTCACAGTGCTCAGCCATCCAGGCACTCAAGAGACAGTTGTAGTCCATGATTCAAGGAGGTCTGACTACTGCTTAAGCAGACCTTGGCCTCATTCACATGGTGCTGCTTTTACATGCTTGCAGAATGCAAAAGTTGTGAGATCAGGAAGGCTTCCTCCCAGATTTCAGAAGGCCTGGGAGGATGTGTGGTGTGCCCCTGGCAGGGCAGTGCATGAAGTTGTGAGAGTGAAGCTGAAAGTGCTGTGCAATAGAGAAGCCAGGAATGCATAATGTCTGCTGAAAGGCTGAATGCAGTGAGCAGAGTTAGTCAGAGGGGTAGAACTGCCCAAGCTGATTGAAATTTGCAGTTCATCACAACTTGCTCTGGATGCTGGACATAGAGCTACAGGATTTAATGTTTGCCCTGCTGGGTTTCTGTCTTGCTTTAGTCCCATGGGTTACTATCCCCCAGATTTTCTCTTTTTTTGAATAGGAATGTTGTGCCATTGTACATTGGCAGTGTTCAACTTTCTTTTTGATTTTTTTCAGGGGCTCACAGCTAAGAGTTTGCCTTAAGTCTCAGAGAGACATTGGACTTTTAGCAATGCTGAGACAGTTAGGACTTTGACAACTCTTAGAAATAGAGTAAATGGATTTTGCATAAAGGGATCCACATGAATCTTCTGGGGACCAGGGACAGAATGTTATCTAGATGTGTCTAGATGTCCCCCAAAGCCTCATCAATCATAGGTGGGCTTTTGGGAGGTTCCTGGATCATGAGGGTGCTATATTCATCAGTGGGTTAGTCCACCAATGAGTTTATAGCAAAATATGCTGTTAGGAGGTAGGGCCTGATCAGAGGAGGTGGGTTACTGGTAGCATGGCCTCCCTCCCCAGCTCCTTCTTTCTCTCTCTACTTCCTGGCTGCCATGAGGTGAGCACTTATTCCTCCATCATGCCCCTGTGCCATGCCATCCTGCCTTGGAGCCAGCTGACTATGGGCTGAAACGTGAGTCAAAATAAACCTCTCCTCCTTAAATTGCAGGTGTCCAGTATTTTGTGCCAGTGACAAGGAAAGTAACCAAGACATCAACCAGCCTAATCCCACATCCCCATTTCCTCTGTGGGGCTCTTGCACTCTGAGCTACTAGCCACTGGCCTTCATCACTGCAGGACCAGATACCAGGACAAAGGAGGGGACCTCTGCCCCTGCTGAAATTATTCAAGCCAGCAATCCTAAACCTGCTTAACCCCCCTCTACTGTTCCTTCCTGTGAAAACCACTACAAGGCTCCCACCCACACATCCCCCTTCTTTTTCTTTCCTCCTCCTGTCCTGACTGACCCAGGGCTTCCCTATGTGAACACAATGGCATGGTGTGCCCCTCCCATTGCAAACTGGAGCATCAAACTATGTTTCCACTGGTGGTTGTCACCTTTATGAAACATGGCCCCAACCTTTCTTTTGCAAAGTAGGTTCACAGGGCCATGCCCTGGCTGCCCTTCCCTGTCAAGCTCATTGTCTCCTGAGCCTGCTGGATTATCAGCAACCTCCCTTACCACCAGAAGCCAGCAGGCCCAACCCAGTCACACGTCTCCTGCGCCAGCCACCTGGTGGCACGCCCAGATCCTGAGGAGCATAAACACCCATCCTGAGCCATACCCCATAGGTGACCCTGGGGAGGTACTATGCTGCCTGTGCCTCAGTTTCCCCAGTGGTGCTCACACTTTCTTCCCCACAGGAGTGCTGCAAGGCTGACAGCAGGCACAATGCAGAGGGCAGCTGTGGGTGGCATCACCGATTAGACTGACCATCATCCCTCCTATGGTGCAGGGGTGGACAGTGAGGCTCAGGTCACTATCCAAGGTGTTGTGTGGGTCTGGCCTGACCCTTCCCAGAAGACTCCACCCCAGGAACCTCCCCTAGTGAGGAGCAAGCCTGTGTGCTTCCCTCTTGAGAACAAAGCCTGGTGGCACCCACCACAAACCTTAACCCCTTCCCATAGAGGGCGGAGAGTGAGGAAGGGGCCTACCTGGGCCAGGCTGACATCCTCATCAGCCCCGGAGAGCTTGTTCTCGGAGTCAGGCTCCTCACCCACATCACTATCACCGTCCTCCCGGCGGGTGTCCTGTGGGACCTGGCTGCCCACAGCTGTCTCGGGCTGCAGCACCAGGCCGGCAGGACCTGGGGAGGCCTCATCCCCATCTTCACAGGGGAAGTTCTCGCTGGCCATGCTGGAGGATGGACTGTCAATCCCACTGTCCCGGTTGGGGATCTTCATGCTGCTTGGCGCCCCCAGGGGGCCAGTGTCTGGGGGGCTGTCCTCTGCTGTGGCAGGCCGGCCACCATTCCCTTGGCGGGTACCAGGCCCAATGGGAAGAGCTCGGAGCTTTCCCAGGGAGGAGCTGCCAGGCCTGGCATTGGGTTGCCCCAGAGGAGAAACAGCTTCTGGGGGTGCCGAGGACCCTCCACTTGACTCCATCCTAAAAGCTGAAATAACTGGGCTCTGTGGGAGGCTGGCCAGGGCCTTCCTGTGAGGGAGAAACAAGCCCAGCTCAATGCAGCTCCCCTAAACCACCTGCTATACTGCTATAGTTTATATCTAGGTGTCCCACCAGAGCCTCATGTGCTCATAAGTGGGGCTTTGGGCAGGTGAGTGGATGGTGGAGGTGGGTCAATATAAATATATATATATCCCTCCTCCTTTGATCACTTCCTGCCTGCCTTTCCATGGACTGTTTCTCCTCTGCCATGCCACTCTGCCTTGGAACCAGGTGACTATAGACTGATATTTCTACCAACTGTGAGCCAAAAGAAACCTCTCCTCCTTGAACTGTGGGTGTTTGGGTATTTTGTCCCAGAAATGAGAAATTTTAGTATATGTGCTGCCAAAGTGAGCACAAGCAATGAGAAGTTGACTAGGACACCACCCCCAGAGAAAGCCTAGAGGAGGCGAGCTGGGGCTGTGTTCAAAACCTCAGCACCCTGGTGAGTTTCAGCTGGGTCCTAGCTAGATAGGCTTTCAGAGAATGGCTAATGTTTTATTTTAAAAATAAGTCTTGGCCCGGGGATTTAGCTCAGTGGTTCTGGCGCCTGCCTTGCAAGTGCAGAGTCCCAAGTTCAATCCCCAGTACAAAAAAAAAAAAAAAAGTCTTGCTGGGTGTGGTGGTGCACACTTGTAATCCTAGCACTTGGAAGGCTGAGGCAGGAGGATTACGAGTTCATGGTCACCTAGGCAATTTAGCAAGAACTTGTCTCAAAAAGTCTCTTATATATTAAAAAAAAAAAAAAAAGGTAATCCTATGGAATAGTGTGAGGCTATTTGCTGCTCAAGAATTCAAAATATATGCACAAAATGATAATAATAGCTGTCATGAGCATTTGGGCTTCCATTTATAACATACCTTTCACACCCATAATACTTCCAGGAGGTAAGGCTCAGTATCCCAGGCCTCTTCCTCCTCACCATCACCATGGCCTGTTGGACAGTGAAGGGAACTGCTCCAGAGGCCATCGGCTGTGACTGTCCCAGGGTCTCCCTGGGAGCACCAGGCCAGCAGGTGGTCTTGCCCAACAGTGTGAACTGGGGCCTTTGTCTCCAAATCCCACCTCCTGGGCACTGCAGCCACTTCACACTGGTACCCCAGCCTCTCCTGGCACCCTCCACAGGAGGTAAATCCAAGCATCAATTCTTTCCTTCCAACAGGGTCTTGCTATGTAGTTCAGGAGTGCAGGCTGGCTTTGAACTCACTCTATAGCCCAGGCTGGCCTCAAATGTGTGCTGATCCTCCTGCCTCCTCCTGACTGCTGGGATTACAGATGTGTGTCACTATGGCTGGTTCTGCTGTAAATCTTTGGTGCTCAAGGAATTCAAAAGTGAGACCGGACCACAGTGAGATGCACAGTCTCCAAAGTGGTCTTTTTAAAAAATTTATTTATTTATTAATATGCTGGGGATTGAACCTAGGACCTTTACAACTGTGCTACATCCTCAAGCTCTATTATTTTTTATTTTAAGAAAATTTGAAAATTAAAAAAAAAATTTCTCACTAAGTCACTAAATTGCTCAGGCTGAGCTTGAACTTGTGATCCTCACCTCAGCTTCCCAGTGGTAGGATTACAGGCAGACACCACCATGCCCTGCTTGAGATCATGTTGTTGACCGAAAGATGCTGCTGCAGAGGGACCAAGGGATGGCAGGTGATGGTCACTTACCCCTACCCGGTGCAGTCACCCTCTCCCGCAATGGGGGCCACTGAAGGTTGACAGCTGGATGCTTGTTCCCTGCTGTGCTCTGGGCTTGGCCAGTAGAGGCTGGAGCAATCCTCTTCGAATCTCTTGTCCAGCAGGTTTGCAGAGGGCTGGTTAGGAGGCACTGGAGAAACAGCAGAAGGGAATGAAAAGCACTTCCTCCAACTGGCTTAGGAGCAGCCAAGGCCCCAGTGCTAAAGGGAGGGGAGGAAGAGGGCAGCATCAGTCCCCACCCGGAGTGGTGGACCCTGGGCAGGACACAGGAGTCTGCGGAGGGACACAGAACACAACACAGTCGGTCCTGGGCTCCTGGGTGATACACGCAGCCTGAGAAGGGGAGGCAGCAGAAGCCACGCCCCATGGGTGAGCAGAGCTGCACAGCCAGGAGGGAAGGGTCACCTCAGAAGTGTGGGAAGCACCCCACTGGAGGAGAGCCAAGGTGCTCCATATCCCTCCACAGCCCTCACCCTCACTGGACACACACACGGCTCCCCAGCACATTTACACACACACACGCACACACACACACGCACACGCTCACTGGTTTATCACACACTCACACTCAGGAAGTCTTCTGCTGGCCAAGACTTTGTGTGTCCCTTCCTCCCACTATAAAGAGCTATCTGGGTGGAAGCCGGCTTCGAACGCTCACATGCACACAAGCAGGAACTGTCTGTCTCACGGCCTGCCCCTGGCTGCCTGGCCTCCCAGGGTGGGCGGCTGCTTCAGCGGTGTCCCTGGAGGCTCTGTTTTGGACAGGCCCCTGGGCAGAGCTCCTCCTGAGCACTTACTTCCTGGGGGAAAACTACCTTTGAGTGGACCTTTTTTTTAATGGCTCCACACTCATTTCAGGTAGACATTTATCACTGGCTACCATCACATTCTTAACAAACTTAGTGGGCAGAAATATTAAGATTTCCAAACAGAAAATACATGTTTTGCAGCATTCTTATGTTAGCATAGGAGATACACTCAAGTTTCTAGAAGTAAGACAGGAGATGGAATGTGAGCTGTGCTCAGCCTTGGCTTGTGCAGAAGCTGCTGTCTGGTGGGGCAGAGCCTGGCTCAGCCCCAGCTCAGGAAGACTGCGCTTCACCAGAAACCTATTTATTCTCACCTGAGACAACGCAAAAGGACACGGCACTGCACACTAGGAAAGCAAGAGTTTGCACGATGCTATATGCCAGACAGCAAAGCCCCAAGATCTTTGAGAGATGGGAGTAAATGGGCTGAGCCTTCCTGTTGCCCCACCTCACTGCCTAGAGACCATTTCAGGGCCAAGAAGCAGGGAAGAGGGGTCTGGGGGGCTCTCCAAGTTGAGAAGACATAGCTGAGAGTGTGGGAGACCAAGAGAGACAGAGCCCTGGAGGGGAGAGGTCTGCACAGAGGAAGAATCCTGAGACCTGCAGAGAGGCCCTGAGGACCACTCAGCACACATATGAGGAAAGTCTGGACCAAGAACCACTTGAGAGCACCAGAGGGAGTGCTCCACAAAGTCTTTTGTTCTGCTCCCTCCTAACATATCTTAACCGGAAAGTCAAGCTGCTTACAATTTAACTGCACCCCACCAAAAAACCCCAAATACTTACAGGAATGAAAAACTGTCTAGCACCCAGCAAGATCCAAGACGTGATGACTGGTGTCCAATAAAAAAATGACCAAGCATGCAAAAGAATTATACAACCCATAATGAGTAGGAAAAAAACCCTCAGTGAATTGAAACTGACCTGTAACTGACCCAGATATAGCAGACAGGAACATTGAAAGAGCTGTTATGCCTGGGTTTGGATGATGCGAAGAGTGGCTTCAGGCCAGAGGCTACTGCTGACCCGGCTCAGCTTCACTTGGGGTTAATTTGGTGGCTTTCCATCCAAACTCCATTGAGGCCACATAAACAGTGAGCAAGGCCCAGGGTGCCTCAGCCATGGCCAGATCAAATAATGCCACCTTGTGACTCAGAGGTGACTGGAAGCACTGAGTACTCACCTTGGGGTCTCAGGCTGGGGAATGCTCTGGCACCTGCTGATGTGGCCAGGGGTCTCTGGCTTCTCTGCTGAGAATGCAGTGGAGTGCTCCATGCCTTGAAATTGGGGTAGGGGTCAGTGGGAACTCAGAGAAGCCCAGGGGAGGGAGAACAAACTGGGAAGAAAAGGAGACAATTAATACCACATCTGCCTTTTTGCTTGGACATCACAGATACTTGCAAATTCAGCTCACACTACCACCTCTAAAAGTCATTTGTACTGTTTGAAACTATTAGTCTGCTATCGTTTAGATCTTCAATGTCCCTTAAAGGCCCATGTGCTAAAGTCTTGGTCCCCAGGTAGTGAATCCTTCAGGATGCAAGGCTTAATGAAAGGTCTTTAGGTCATGGGGGGCGTGTTCTTAAAGTGGATATGGGATCTTGGCCCCTTCCTCTACCTCTCTTTCATTCCCTACCTAAGGTGATCAATTGTGTCCCTCCACATTCCCTGTAATGTGTTGCATTGCCACAGGCCCAAATCAATGAGGCCTATTGATCATGGATGGAAATCTCCAAATCTGTGAGCAAAAATAACCCTTATCTCTTTATAATTATCTCAGGTGTTTTGTTACAGTGCCAAAAAGCTGACTAACACAGACTTCTTTTTTTTTAGAAAACTTAGAAACTGTGGAAAAACAAAAGGTAGTAACATGACCTGTCACTCTTGCACCTTGTGACTGTAGACCGGTCAGACAGGCTGGATGCAGGACAGGAGTCGAGGTGCCTAACTCTCCCAGGCATGCAGCAGCTTCTCTTAGAGTAGCTATGTTTTCTCCAAGAGGAGTTCCGAATGTAACCCGACTGTATCCTCGAGAACATGGGTCTCCCGAAAGAACTGAAAGTAGGGTCTCAAACAGGTTCCCAGCAGCAGTGTTCACAGCAACCAAAATGTGGGTGTTGCTCAAGTGTTCACTGATGAGGGAATGGTACTACAAACTGAATCTTGAGAGTCCTCCAGAGACGGCCATGTTGAAGGCTTGGTATCAGCCCTGACGCTACTGGGAGGTGGGGGAACCCTTAGGGGGTTGGGCCCAGTGGGAGAAAGGTCATTGGGGTGTACCCTTGGAAGGGATATTGGAACCCCAGCCCCTTGTTGTCTCTTTCTTTGCTTCCTGCCTACCATGCGGTAAAACATGTCTCTACTGAAGTTTCTGAAACTATGAGCACAGATAAAACTTTCCTCCTTATATGTTAATTTATCTCAGGTCCTTGTTACAACAACAGAAACCAACACAAATAGATAAGCAAAATAGAGTCTGGCCATGCAGTGGGATACATTTAGCCTTAAAAAGGAAGGAAATTCTGACATCTGCCACAGCATGGATAAACTTTGAGGACATTATACTGAGTGATATAACCCAGTCACAAAATGACAAACTCTGTATTGTTTCACTTATATGAGATCCCTAAAGGAGTCAAATTCACAATAGTAGAAAGATGGCTGCCAGGGATGAGGGAGAAGGAAATGAGGAGTTAGTGTTTAATGGGGACAGCGTTTTTATTGGGAAGATGAGAAAAACCGCAAACATCAAAATAACAGCAATTCAAAGCGCCTAAACTTACAACTGTGTCAGGTACCCAGGGCCTTATCCTATATGTCCACCTGTCGCCACGTGGCCGAGGAAAACATGGCCACACAGGGGCAGCCACCAGCCCTCTCTAGGACATGGCACATGGTCCTGATTCCTGAGTCACTGCCGTCCTGCAAGGTCAAGGCCTGGCTGTGCAACCTCCATCTTGTCACCTGGAAAGAGGTTGGGAGAAGCACACACGCACCACGGCACAGAGTGGATTCCTGGTAGCCCTGGTGGCATTTGAGGCTCTATAAGTGACTGAGGAAATGCAGGAATGATTTTCTTGTGGGTTACATACGTGAGACCAAAAACACCTCATTAGGTGGCAAACCCAGAATGAAAAAGGGGACAGATAGAGCTCCCCACCTACCCAGAAGGGTTAACCAAAGGCTCCTGGCAACCCCAGCCTAGTAGGAGGTCCTGGCTGGACTCATCCCTGCTCTGGCCCCAGGCCTATCCCTTGGGATCTCCCTGGGGACTAACATACCCCATAGACTGAGTATGCCCTGGCAGACCTCTGCCTTGAAGGCAGTGTGGACATAGTGGGCCCCAAGCATTTGCATCTAGCATGATCCTGTTTCTAATCCCGACTGTCCAGACCACCAAGGAGAAGCTCAGCATCCCCCAGCTTCAGTCCCCGTGTCTATAAAAGGGCCATAATAATAGTTCTGCAAAGATTCCTAGAGCCTGGGGCAGCACACAACTGCTACACCCTCACATTTCAGCCATGCTCCCAGTCAAATACGCACAGAGTGCCTCATCCATCTGATAGGTTACTGAGGCCTAAAGCAGTGGTACCCACCCTTGTTGGCATCAGAAATTGATGCACGTGGTGAGGGAGAGTAGAGATGAGGACAGTTTCTGGGATGATTCAAAGGAGCTCAAAACCTAGATCCCTTGCACACACTGCTCACACTCCATCGCACTGGAGGCCTCTAGGTCCACTCAGCTACAGCAGGACATGGTAAGATTAAGAGGCAAACACAGTACGGATGGTTTTTGCACTAAGCCGGATTGGCAGAAACTCATAGAGAGCAAATCCAGGAATGCATGAGGATCAGTGCACGGAGCTATACAGCAAGAAGCACTAGCACATGACAGGCAGGGCTACCTCCCACACCTCCCACACAGGGAAGCCTCCACTCTTACCATTTCTACTTAATCTTTTTTTTTTTTTTTTGGCACCGGGGATTGAACTCAAGACCTTGTGCTTATGAGGCAGGTGGCAGCACCACTGAGCTAAATCCCTGGCCCTACTTAATCTTTTCAATTACATGTTTAGTGGATTCTTTTTTTTTTGAGATAAAGTGTCATTGTGTTGTTCAGGCTGCCTTCTACCTGCTGAGGTCAAGTGATTCTCCTGCCTCAGTCTCCTGAGTAGCTAGGGCCACAGGCATGCACCACCATGCCTGGCTTTGTTTACTCAGTATTTTCTGTTTGTTTTCTATTTTTATTTTCTGCCTTTAAATTTTCAAAATTGATTTATTTTTGTCTTCTATTTCTTTCCTATTTTATTTTCACTTTTATTTCTTTCACCAAGAAGGAACATAAATACAAACATAGAGCCATGAATGAAACATCACTGTTGTCATGCATAAAAAGCAATGAAAAAAAATAAAAGTGCAAATTCCATCTTTAAAATAAAATAGACTCCTTCCATGCACAACTAGTTGGGTATGCAGTAAAGCCAAAAGAACTCTGGGATGGCAGCACAGGTGCTCACTGCGAGATTATTTGAGCATGGTGATACGTTTGAAAGATTTCCTTAAAAAGTACTAGGAGAAAACAATTTAATATGCCACTGCAAGACCCTCAGGCTCCTCTTGAGGGAGGAGAGATCTTTAATTCCCTGAGTCCAGGCTCACCCTCGCCCCATTGAGCACCCTGGGTACATTATAGAATTCTTTCCACTTTTGTTTTTTTGGTTTTTTTGAGTCAGGGTCTCCCTGTGTAGTTCAGGCAGGCCCTGAACTCACTATGTAGCCCAGGCTGGCCTCGAACTTGCAGGGATCCTTCTGTCTCAGCCTCCCGAGTGCTGGGATCACAGGCGTGCACCACCACACCAGGCTTCTTTCCACTTTTGATTATGTTTAACAATATCTGTTTTTAAAACAAAACAAAATAAGCAAGAACTTCCTGTTGAAACGTCCACTGAAGGGCTGGGGATTTAGCTCAGTGGTTCTGCCGCCTGCCTTGCAAGCACAAGGTCCCGAGTTCGATCCCCATGTACCAAAAGAAAAAAAAAAAAAGAAATGTCCATGGAAATTCTCCACATCACTGTCCACTCTGACCTCTCCCTCCCCCTCCCCTCCCCTCCCCCTCCCCCTCCCTGGCTCTTTCTCCCAGGAGGCCCTTAGGTTCTTGGCACAGCCCTTCTGTCTTAAATGCAGCTCTATCCAGCTTTAGATCCCCAGATTGGCCTTCCCCGAGAACACCATCCCCTGCTCCCCCATCCCTCCACCTTGACTTCACCCTGACCTTCTCCCTCCCCACTTCCTGCTTTTAGGCCCCTCCCCTCCATGATTAAAGGACAAAGGAGCCGCATCTCTTCCTGTTACATAGGCCTCAGTACTGTGGATGAAAAAATGAATGAATTTGAATCTGCCTTGCAAGGAATTTTTATATCCCCCAAAATGCATGCTTTCACATAAACAAAAATGTGCTTTGATCAAAACTCAAAAATATAAAATCCAAATTGAGATCACAGAAGTTCAAATCCCCCCACCAAAGCAGCCTTCAGTAGGTCTGGCCCATCATAGCAACTTATCTAGAAAGGTCTGGAAGGCAAATTCATCTTGCAAACCCACCCACACTCACAGCTCTCAAAAGATAAATGAGCGGGACCCCCAAAGATCTTGGGCAGATATAAAGGTTCATCCTGAGACCCAATACAGCACCTAAGTGAGGCCACTCCACCTCACAGGACTTGAGTGACCAGGCCTCCCCACCTCATGGGACCTGGGTGTCCAATAGTCCCTCATCTCTTAGTGGGGTTCAGACCGAGGGAACAGCTGTACAAACAGCAGGAAGGGCAAGAAGGCACGTACAGTGAGGGAATGGGCCATGTGGACTGCAGCTTCCCAGGTGGGAACCCCCAGAGGGAGAGCTTGGAACCAAGACCTGAAGGCCAGGATGGATCTCCAGCAGCCAGCAGCCAGGCACACAGTCAGCAAGTGAGTCCCATTTTGGTTTTCAAGGAAGGTGAGGAGGGAAGCCACCCAGACCACCTGTTGGTGGTGACAAAGAAAGTTGTCCTAGTGCCTGAGTCAGGGCACTGAGGGAAGAGCAGAATGCAGGGAGACCAAGGGTTCGCCTCACCCACAGGGACGTGTCACTGGCTGTGCTCTGGTCATGAGGCTGCCCCCTTTCACACTGGGTCTGCTTCTACTCCATTCCTTGCTGCCAGTACATACATGTCCATGGCTGGCCCTTGGCCCGTCTCTTGTGCAGGACACTGGCCTCTTCATCACCTACAGAGCCCACAAATACCTGGAGAGCTGAGGCTCCAGTACCCAGCAGGAAATGTCAGTTGTGAGTGAAGG